CAGCAAGCGTTAGAAGCAAGTGGCTATAATCATCAATTAAAATTTGACACAACAACTAAAGACCAGAGGAGTACAGAAGGGAGAGGAAGACACCGAAATATAACTTGGTATAACCCACCTTTTAGTAAGAACGTTGCCACTAACGTGGGAAAAAAATTTTTAGGCATCGTAAAAGAATCCTTTCCGCCAGGGCACTCACTAAGAAAGATTTTTAATAGGAACACTTTGAAAGTAAGCTATTCGTGCATGCCAAATTTAGAAAGAAAAATCGACGCCCACAATAAGTCCGCCCTCGCAAATAATTCCCAATCGCAAGAAAAATCATGCAATTGTAGAGACAAACACTCTTGCCCGTTACGTGGCAATTGCCTAATTCAAAATGTGGTCTACCAGGCCACAGTTGAAAGTCCCTTGGGAACCCAAACGTACGTCGGCCTTACTGCGAACCAATTTAAAACAAGATTTAGAAATCATACAGCTTCATTTAGACACGAGAACAAAAGGAACGCAACAGAGTTGAGCAAATATATCTGGTCCCTAAAGGATGCTGAAACGGAGTTTTCCGTGACCTGGAAAATAATAGCTCGTGCCAGGCCGTACTCAAATACCACGAAGAGATGCAATCTTTGCATAGCTGAAAAATTCTTTATCATATGCAGAACAGGGGCGGGTACCCTAAACAAAAGGAACGAACTGGCGAGTGCGTGCCGGCACTCATCTAAATATCTGATAAGGCTGCTCAAACCACCTACTTAAAAGGTCCGTTAGTCAACTAGTGCCTTATCCACCTGACGAGAGAGGACTTTTCCTTTCGAAACAGATCTATAGTATCAAGTTTTAATTTTTATTTTCCTAAATAATCGTTTACAAAGCTCCATGTGGTTGTAGAGCACTCTGCGATTCAAAGATAAGGTTTTTTACATTTTTACATTTATATATATATATATATATATGCTCTGCAACCCGCATCGAGCCCTTTTTCACAGCCACGATTTCCCCTAGTCTGTTTGTATATATACTCTTTACTATTTCGTTGTGGTGAATGGATTTCAAAGAGCGCTCAACTCTTGAAGGAGCATTGTATATTAAATCAAACCAGTTCAGGACTTCAGGAATGATTCATCGTTTTATTGCTGCGGCAGCCCTGTTTCGTATGGTCTAAGGTTGACCACACTCATCAGGCAACATCAACGAGTCATTAATGCCTTTAGAAGGGCAACATCCCATTATACGTCCATAAAGAATCTAACCACCCACCATCCATACTGAGGAACGTCCCTGTATCCATTACCAAAAGGTTATCCGAAATATCATTAGATAAAGAATGCTTAGACAGCGCATCTATCAGGAGGCACTCGACAAAAGTGGCTATCACCATAAGCTCTCCTACACACCAAGCTAGCCATCCCGCTCTCGTAATACGTTGCAAAGAAACATCTTGTGGTTTAATCCGCCATTCAGCATGAACGTGGCAACAAACGTCAGCAAACACTTCCTTTCACTTATCGATTAGCATTTCCCTAAATCTAACCCCTTCATAAAATTTTTAACCGCAACACACTAAAACTAAGCTACAGCTGCACGAGCAACATCAAAACAATAACAACAATCATAACAAAGCTTTAATTAACAAATCAGCACGCACCAACGATGACAAGAAGAGCTGTAATTGCCGCAAACCTAACTTCTGCCTTATGAATGGAAGGCTGCAACGCGGAAAATGTCATCTACCAGGCTGAAGTCACAACTACAGCCACGAAGGAAACATATATCGGACTCTGTGACACTGCCTTTAAACTAAGATACAGGAACCGTATGTGTTCTTTTCGTAATGAGCGGTATAGACACGCAACGGAACTGAGTAAGTTCATATGGAGCCTAAAAGATAGGAAAATTGCGTATGAAATCAAATGGCGCAAAGTTAAACGGGCTAGGTCCTATTCGAATGTATATAAGAGATGTAATTTATGTTTGTGAGAGAAGTTTTTCATTTTGTGCAGACCAGAAATGTCGACTCTTAACAGCAGAAATGAGCTCGCATCGGGTTGTAGACATGCTAGGAAGTTTCTACTAAAAAAATAATGTTCTTTTTAAATAACGACGATCGCGCGCGCGCTTCACGCAACGATCTTGGAAACTATCGCGTATTTTCAAATATCTCTGATTGTAACTGTTATTTCTAAGAGCCGCCTGATGATTGCTTCGCATGAAGCATGAAACTCAGAGGAGGGAATAAATGACCGAATAACAAACTCTTGGATTAAATGTATTTATTACACGACACGGGCAGTCAGAGGGCCAATAACTAAAATCAACCAATCAAAATGTTCTATTGCTGGTCAATATTCTCTGAGTCTTTCAATTTAGCTTCTTGTTC